AAAGAAATGTTTACAAATGGAAAAGACAACCTTAATATTTAGAGATAAATACACAGATTCTGAGGGAGTTCCTCAAACGTGTTGACTGTTGTTTAAAGCCCTTATAGAATTGATTTTTGCATAAATTCGTAACTTTGAGAGAGCGTTTCCGGTTAGACGATTATACTCAGATCTGAGGGGAATATCCCAGAATTCATCATTCAAAACACATTCAAATGAGCTCTGATGACAGCGACAGACGAAGACTACATTAATTATTGTTCAAATATTTCCTGAGGGATGTTTCTTTTGTCTTCTGCATTATATTTCAATAATATTTTGTGCAGTTTTGTTTCTATTTTTTCAACTTATTTGAGTTTTTATTCAACTAAATAAAATTAGCGGAGATAAACAATTAATAAACATGTAAAGATACAAATAAAATGGGCGACATGGTGGCGCAGTAGGTAGTGCTGTCGCCTCACAGCAATAAGATCGCTGGTTCGAGTCACAGCGGGCTCAGTTGGCGTTTCTGTGTGGAGTTTGCATGTTCTCCCTGCGTTCGCATAGGGTTTCCTCCGGGTGCTCCAGTTTCACAGTCCAAAGACATGCGGTGCAGGTGAATTGGGTAAGCTAAAATGTCCACAGTGTATGAGTGTGTTTGGATGTTTCCCAGAGATGGGTTGCAGCTGGAAGGGCATCCGCTGCGTAAAACATGCTGGATAAGTTGGCGGTTCATTCCGCTGTGGCAACCCCAGATTAATAAAGGGACTAAGCCGACAAGAAAATGAATGAATGACAAATATGATGTGTGTGCTCATATATCCATGTGTGTGTGTGTGTGTGTGTGTGTGTGTGTGTGTGTTTGTGTATGTCCCTGTGCATATATATATGTGTGTGTGTTTAAGTGTATGTCTATGTGTAGGCAGCACACTGGCTCAGTGGTTAGCACTGTGGCCTCAAAGCAAGAAGGTTGCTGGTTCGATTCCCGGCTGGGTCAGTTGGCGTTTCTGTGAGGAGTTTGCATGTTCTCCCCATGTTGGCGTGGGTTTCCTCCACAGTTCAAACACATGCACTATAGGAGAACTAAATTGGCCGTAGTGTATGAGTGTGTGTTTCCCCAGACTGGGTTGCAGCTGAAATGGCATCCACTGCATAAAACATATACTGAAAGAGTTGGCGGTTCATTCTACTGTGGAGACCCCTGATGATAAAAGGGACTAAGCCAAAGGAAACTAAATGAATGTCCATGTGCGTGTCTGTGTGTATATGTGTATGTCCGTGTGTGTGTGTGTGTGTGTGAGATGTGCTGTGCTCATCACAGGTCATTAGTGTCACTCACCCACTCAATGGCACTGACAAATGACCCACACACACACTCTCAATGTGCTCATTGTCTGTGTGTGTGTGTGTGATGATCTTGCTCATCTTCTGACCTCCGTCTCTCTCTCTGTCTGTCCTGCAGACATTCACACTCACTCAACACACACTCTATACAGAGTGGAGATCTCACACACTCTCAACACACTCCATACAGAGAGTAGAGATCTCTCTCTCTCTCTCTCTCTCACACACACACACACACACACACACACACACACACACACACACACACACACACACACACACACACACACACACACACGCACGCACACACGCACACACGCACGCACACACGCACCCACACAAACACACAATACAAAGCTGAGCTGAGATCTCTCTCTCTCTCACACACACACACACACTCACTCAACACAACACACTCCATACAGAGCGGAGACCTCTGTGTCACTGCGCCCTCTAGTGGCTGACAAGATTGTAAATAAATGAAGTATTTACAATCTTCATTCATTTATTCATTTTCCTTCAGCTTAGTCCTTTTATTAATTCGGGGTCACCACAGTGGAATGAACCGCCAACTATTCCAGCATATGTTTTATACAGCGAATGCCCTTCCAGCTGCAACCCAATACTAGGAAACAGTCATACACACTCATACACTACAGCCAATTCAGTTCATCAATCCCCCTATAGCGCATGTGTTTGGACTGTGGGGGAAACCAGAGCACCAGGAGGAAACCCACGCCAACATGAGGAGAACATGCAAACTCCACACAGAAACACCAAATGACCTAGCCGAGGCTTAAACCAGCAACCTTCTTGCTGTGAGGCAAACATGCTACCCACTGCGCCACCATGCTGCCTACTATTTACAATTTATACACTTAAAATATGTGTATATCCTATAAATGTATAATTTTCTCTAGAAAAAGATGCTTTCCAAATATTGAACAAAATTAGTCAACAGAAGCACAGCAGAGGCAGAGTAATTATTAAAAGAGTTTAATGAATCATCATCTCAGTATTTGAGCTATAGTTTACAACAGGAAATATATTTAATAATCCATTTATTTCACATTATACAGAGAGCGGCCGCCGCTTCGCCAGTGTACATGAGTGTGTGTGTGTGTGTGTGTGTGTGTGTGTGAACGTGAAATGAGAAACCAAACTCAGAATCACACCAACTAAAGCAGAGAAACACTTTGGTTGAATGTCATGGACTGAGCGCAGTGCATTGTGGGTGGCGTGGGTGTGACCATGAGCACTGGAGAGCAGAGCGCCAGTGTGTTGGTATGGGCAGAGAGGTGCATTGTGGGTAGTTTTGGCTCAGAGAAGTGCAGTGTCCATGTGTTTAAAGCCCCATTGGTTCAGATCATCTGAATCTGTATGTACAGCGGTAGAATATTCATAATATTATTAATAATAATACACACACACACACACACACACACACACACGCGCGCGCACACGCACACACTAATCATTAAATGATTTACAAATCACTGCAGTCTCTTTGACTGAATGAATCTAATCTACACACACACACACACACACACTCACACACACACACTTCTCTCCCTGTGCAGATTGAAAGTGTGTTTTACATGTAAACAGTAGCCCTATAGAGACAAATCCTCGCGATGAGACAGACACACAAACACACACACACACACACACACACACACACACACACACACACACACATATATCAGTCTTCAAGTGTGTGTGTGTGTGTGTGTGTGTGTGTGTGGGAGTTAGTAAAGTGCTCAGTGCTCATGTCTATATTGCCTCAGACATTGTGTAACACTCACCGAGCTCATAATCGCTATGGAAACCACCTATATAAACAACTTCATTATCGGTAGCAGCGGCTCACACACACAGGTTGGTTTTGGTGGTTTATGAGGACTCTGTGTTGATGTAGCATATTTTGCTGAGACAAATATGAAAGACCTCATTAATTATGATCGTAAACATTTATGAATTACAACATGTCCTCATAAACCAGCTCAATGTTGTAATGCCTAGGTCATACCCATGTCATTATACACATTTCTGTCCTCATAAACCACCAAAAACATTACACAGGTTGGTTTTGGTGGTTTATGAGGACTCTCTGTAGATGTAACATATTTTGCTGTGACAAATATGAAAGACCTCATTAATTATGATCTTAACATTTCTGAATTACAAGGACATGTCCTCATAAACCACCCAAAAACATTACACACAGGTTGGTTTTGGTGGTTTATGCACTCTAAAAAAAACATTGAGTTATTTTTTTAACCCAATGGTTGAGTTAAAAATAATTGGTGCTTTGTTGGGTTATTTTTTAACCTTTATTAGGTTATTTATTTAATTTAATTTTGAATTTCAACAGTCAACTAATTTAACTGACACAGAACAGCTGTATTAATGTGTACATAATATTGTTTTTGCGTTATAAAGTTTATTTAAGCTCTAACGCAATAATATTTTTGTAATTTTTTTATCGAATTACCTCTCCATGTTGTGTTTTTTATATCTGTTTCACTATCCAGGACCATCTTTTAGAAGTGTTTGGATGTGGTTAAAAGTATTGTATCCTGTGGACACTGAGTGAAGCCTGCTGCAGCTGCTGGACAGCCTCTTTTTTGGATTTTCTGCTTGCACAGTTTATAACTGTCTGCACTTTTCTCTGTTTCCTCATTATTTGTTATTCTTGATTTATTTTAACAAAAGTGTCTGGAACTAATATGTAAAGGAAACAAAGCATTTCAATATTTTTGAATACTGTATGTTATTTATTTACAGCCATAATTATAAAAAAATAGTAGCACTAGTAATAGTAGCATTAGTAATACCAGTATGGAAATAATAACATTTAATCAAAATAACCCAAATGCATTGGGTTAAAATAACCCATAGTTGGGAAGGTGCTGTAATAATGTATGTTTGGGGTAATTTTAACCCAACTATTTTAACAGAGTGAGGACTCTCTATAGATGTAGCGTATTTTACTGTGACAAGCATGAACGTTAAAAGACGCCATTAATTATGATTTTAATTCTGTATTACAAGGACATGTCCTCATAAACCAGCTCAATGTTGTAATGCCTAGGTCATACCTATGTCATTATACACATTTCTGTCCTCATAAATCACCAAAAACATTACACACAGGTTAAAAAAAGAACGTTCAGTTATTTATTTAACCCAATGGTTGAGTTAAAAATATTTGGTGCTTTGTTGGGTTATTTTATTTTTTTACCTTTATTAGGTTATTTATTAATAACTCAACCAGCTGAGGTAAATATTCAGTGCTTTGCTGGGTTATTTTAAACATTTATTTGGTTATTTATTTAATAACTTAACCAGTCGGGTTAAAATTTAAAATTTCGTAATGTTGTTTTGGCGTTATAACGTTTATTTAAGCTCTAACGTAATAATATTGTTGTTTTTTTTTTTTTTATCAAATTACCTCTTCATGTTGTGTTTTTTATATGTTTCACTATCCAGGACCATCTTTTAGAAGCGTTTGGATGTGGTTAAATGTATTGTACACTGTGGACACTGAGTGAAGCCTGCTGCAGCTGCAAAACAATTCTGAATTACAAGGACATGTCCTCATAAACCAGCTCAATGTTGTAATTTATAAGTTATACCCATGTCAATATACACAAGTCTGTCCTCATAAACAACCAAAACCATTATACACACGTGCACACACACACACACACACACACACACACACACACACACACACACACACACACACACACACACAGAGGTTGGTTTTGGTGGTTTATGAGGACTCTCTAAAGTTGTAGCGTATTTTACTGTGACAAATATGAACATTAAAAGACCTTATTAATTATAATATCAAACATTTCTGAATTACAAGGACATGTCCTCATAAACCAGCTCAATGTTGTCAATATAATGCATACCCATGGCATTATAAACATCTCTGTCCTCATAAACCCCCAAAACCATTACACACACACACACACACACATTAAGGCTAGTTCACACACACACAAACACGCGCACACACACACACTTTTCCCTCTCTCACTGTTTCAGTGATGAACTGTTGCCATGGCGATGAGGTAAGCAGCCCCGCCCCCCTCCAGTAGAAAGGAACCGACGCGGCTGAAATATTATCAGATGAATATTTACATGTCATGAGCTGATGGTGTGAATCTGCACACACACTGTGAACTGACCGTCACACACAAACACCTGATGGAAGTCCTCGAGAGTGTGTGTGTGTGCGTTTACAGTCTCTCTCGTGCTGGGATCCAGATATACGGTCCGGACTGCTCCTCGATCACAGACTTCACATGATGGTAGATCTCCTCGAAGCTCTCGCCCTCCACGATCGCTGTCGAACACACAATAATATGATATCAATACCGTAACATCATTGGACTATATATTTATACAACAGTTCTGTCTGGTTCTCGATTCTGATTGGCTGATATACGTGCGGTATTCTGCAATATCAGCACTCGTACAGCCTCTTCACCCTTGTGTATTACTCCGCCCACATAGAGTGACAGCAGATCAATAAACCCACAACAGATTGACATATTGCAGCTGTTGGAGAGCATCATGTACTCCTGAGGCTTTTTTTTAGTCGAGAATGTAGTTGTTTAGATTACAGCTATGCAGTTTATTTATAAAAGTAGTGCCTATATTAAACAATTAGTATTTATTTAATTTATAATTCAGCGTATCTGCATCCATTAGCTTGTCATACTGAGCAGAGCAACGATGGTTGACATTGTCCATCCACAAAATGGGACCCCGTAATAATCCCTAGGGGAGAAAAACGTCATCATTTCTAAGCGGCACCCTCACACTCTCCCTTGTGAAGCTAATATGTAAATAAGTAACTGAAACTGCAATTCCTCGACTGGCCTTTGGGGGCTCCAGGAACTCCAGATGTTCACTGACTGCAATGCTAAATTGGCCAATTTTACATCTGATAAAAACATGTTTACAGCCTGGTACAAGAGATGATGCATACAGCTAATATTACTCTTTATGACAACTGTGAGGGGGTGAATGTTTTTATAACTCACCTATTTTTATTAAGTTATATTAAGTCTGCATAATTAAGGCCGTGGCCACATGAGTGACAGCTAGGTCTCGCTGGTTGCAGTCAGCTCAGCTGATTCCGGCTGATTAGCTGCTGAGCTCTGCATCATATTCTTGTGTTGTTTTATGTGGCTTTACACAGTCAGTTGGCTTTTGGAACTATTTCCTACAAATATCAGATGATATGGCATGCTGTGTGCACTTAATTGTGCTCACAAACCATTCACAGGCCTCCGTATCCCAGGCGAGTGAAGTTCTAAACTTATATACCATCTCTATAAATGTGTTTGTTTTATTCAAGATTATTTATAATGTTCTTTAGAGCTGTAAAGCCCTCCAGTATCTGACAGATTGATTAGCTGTAGGCTCTAGAACAGTAATCTGAAGCGTTGTCATACAGTGTTATGCTGGATTTCATCAGTAGTCCTACGTTTACTAACACAGACTACATTTGAAGTATTTAGAAGTAATTCGCATTTTTGCATACAATGTTTAAAGAAAAGCCTGTCTACGCAAAATGCTAGCAGGTGTCTGTAGCTTCGCTCACACTCCACCTCTTTGCCTATATTTGGTCACCCCCGGTCTGCGCGATAACAAGCAAACAAAATGGCGATGGTTGGAAACGTCTACTGATTTGCTTATTTATAAATACAATTATGCTGTCAAACTGTTGTATCAATGCTATATCACACTCGTAGCAGTGCCATATGGCTGTAGATTGCCACTGGTGGGACACTAAGGCACTCAGCCTGCAGCCTCGAGCCAACGCATACTTCCCACCAGTGCCGATATACAGCCACACCGCATTACTATGTGTGATATTGCTAATATATAT